CCCCAAAACCCCAAAACCCCAAAGATCTTGTATACCTCCAAAACCCCTTAGACCTAGAATGCCTGAGAGATTTGAATGTAGATTTAAAATATATCATGTTATTTAGATAATTTTTGAATTAGCAAACCTATAGAAAATTTACTTATCTTGCAACTATGAAAAGAACATTAACTCGCAAGACTATAAAAATTGAGTACGAGGAAGAGGAGAAGAACTAGAGTCCAATCAAGCCAGTCTCGAATCTCAAGTTGTCTAGGTCTCTAAAAGTAACAAAGACTAGACAAGATATGAGCTTCGTTCCTAAAAATTGGTAGAAACTATGGGATGTGATTCAAGTAATGAGATCTGAAAATGAGGCACCTGTAGATTCTATGGGCTCATCCCTTTTAGCAGATCCGAAGGCTGAGAAGAACGAGCAATCTTTTTAGACTTTAGTAGGCTTGATGCTTTCATCTCAGACCAAAGATGAGGTTACATCAGAAGCAGTCTTTACACTCAGAGAACACGGATTAAGTATAAAAATGATAAATGAGATAGAAGAATAAAAGCTGAATGAACTTATAAAAAAAGTTGGCTTCCACAACAAAAAGGCCAAATACTTAAAGGATGCAGCGGCAATGATCATCAAAGACTTTAAGGGCAAGGTGCCATCAGATCTTGAAGAAATATTGAAATTACCAGGAGTAGGTCTCAAAATGGCTCACCTGCTTTTACAGTAATGTTTTGACAAGAAAATCGGGATTTCAGTAGACACCCACGTTCATAGGATATCTAATCGACTTAAGTGGGTCCCTAAAGAAACTAAAAACCCTGAAGAAACTGCTAAAGCTCTTTAAGACTGGCTGCCAGTTGAAAAATGGGCAGATATTAATTTCATGTTGGTTGGATTCGGATAGACCATCTGCAGACCTCTGGCCCCTAAGTGTTATATATGTAAGGCGAGTACCCTTTGTCCTTATAACGCTAAAACAAAAGAACCAACTAAAAGTAAAAAGAGATAAACCACCGAAGAATAAAAACAGGATGATAATGATATGGATGATGCTGCTGCTGCTGCTGAAGCAAAAGAAGAAACTAAAATTATTGAGAGAGCCGGGAAAGAATCGAAGAGTAAAGATATTAAAAAGATGGAAAATAATTTATAAATTAGAGAGACTAGATCGAAATCTAAATAAAAAGTTGGTATAATTATGAGAGAGAATAATGACTTGACAATAGAATAGGTAAACTTATAATAGCTAGAATCGTTAAAAATAAAAGCCTCAAAAAAGAGAAAGATGGCCGATCTGGACAACTATAAATTCGTAGACAAAACTAATATAAAAATGAGAAAAAAATCTTAATTTTGATTGCATAATATTCCAGAATAAATAAACTCTCTGCAACTCGGGGTTTTGGGGTTTTGGGGTTTTGGGG